GGATCAATGGGGGGGTACATTAGTAATACTTTCAATAAAGATAATTTTTTTGAAAAAGGAATGAAACTAGAAAACAACTACAATTAGAAAAACCCACTGGGGAGTTTCCACTTGGCACTGAGCAGTTATGGCCTGGGAGAGGTGCTGATGCAGACAAAATGAAAATTTAGCATGGAAAGCAAGTTATGAAGCCACATTTACTCTAAAGAGTCTTTTGCTGATCTTAAAAATTAGAACCTTTGTTTTAATGGATTCCCAGGGAGATCAATACAGAAATAAAACTGAGGGCACTTAACCTAAGATCCTCCTGATAATAAGCTGGACTCCCAAAGGGCTATATTTTTAGGATGAGAATAATCTGAAGTAGATTACAACCTAGGATCGAACTGCTTTTCTCAAACTTTATACTTGGTTTATAATCTGTCCCAGACTGGAATATTTCCAAGTATCATCAGAGCAAATGCAAGCTGTTTAAGTACCTACCCTGTGGTCCTAAAAATATTCTTAAATAATTTTTCAAATGTAATATCCGGGGTCCAGTGAAGGATAACGTAGTACACAGGGAAACTAAGCAAGAATAAGAATAAGCAGGAACAACAGACATAAAAGAGACAGAAAATAACCTTAGGAGTTGGAATTATCAGATGCAGACTACAAAACAACCGTGTTTTCTGTGATACAATAAATAAAAGACAAGCTGGAATTTTTAGCAAAGAACTGAAAACCATACAGAGTGACATAGGTTTGAAAAAAGAAGAAAATTAGAAATCTAGAACTAAAAATAAAATATAATTACAAAAATTAAGAACTGAATGAAGAGATTTAAAAAAAGATAAGACACAGCTTAAGAGATGTTTAATAAATGGGAAGATGAGAAAAGCCTAGAGGTATGCAAGAGCTGGCTTGAATCAGTTTGTGAGAGCCAATTATGTGCAGCAACTTCGAACTCTGCATCAGTTATGTTTGTTGCCTGAAACTGCCCTTGACAATATTTACACTATGGAAATCAACAAATGTTACAAATCAGGGCTTTTTCTCCATGGAGAGCCAGTTTACCAGCATATCACTGGAAGTAACCATACAGAATTCAGGACAGGGAAACAAAAAGATGATACTGCAGAAGAGAGAGTAAGAAATGTAAAAAGTATGCGAGAAAGTTCAATATATTATTTAATTGGAGTTTCAAAGGAAGCAAAGACATTGAAGAATGACAGAATGATAGAAGAAACATTTGATGAGATAATGGCTAAAGTTTTTCCAGAACTAATGATAATCACCAAATCATAGATTTAGGAGGCCCAATGAATACATTACAGGATAAATAAAAAGAAATCTGCACTGAAGTAAGGCTGACTGCCACACCATTAGAGTAACCTATATTTTTCAATCTATGACTATGGGTCTTTATCTTTAAAAATTATAAGTGTTACCAGCTAGACAGGGATTTATTTACATTAATTTTGCCTAAACACAATGAAGGCTACACCTTAGACCTACAGATTTAGAACATGTTCAGCTCAAGAAAGGTTTCTTCTGCTTTTATTTTTTGCTTCCACTAGATTTATTCTGATTTCTCTTTTAGGAACATCTTATTATTTATAAATAGTTTCTCCTCTCTCTGTCCTCAGTATCTGTCATTTTCACCAACATCACCTTACTTTCCCTTTCCTCTCATAATTTTCTTCTCATTCTGGACAACTTCAAACACTCTCTAAAGGATTAATTTTGTTTTCTGAAATATCAACTCTGCAATTTACAACTGCCATTGAAGACTTCTATCTTGCGGCATTTTCAGTATTTTTGTTTTACTTTGTTTCAGTCGTCTTCATTCCAGACTTTTTCTTATGACTTTGATTTTTTAGAGGTCACATTATTTGCTCTCTTGCTAAGAATAAAGTCTGACATTTTCCTGAAATACATTTTCCTGGAATGTCTTCTGTATATGACAATAAATCATTTTCAGATTTAAAAAAAATGGAACTAAGGAGTTAATTATAATTGAGAGAAGGACCATGAAGGGGAAGTGTCTGGTGTGCCCAAAGCATCTATGAAGTCCAAGCTGGTCTGGGGAACCACAGAGAGCCCTTCTGAGAAAGTGACTTTTTGCCTAAGACCTGAAACATGAGTGGGCATGAGTGGACATTCGACCCTGGAAGGACAGAGGGTGTCAAAGGAAGAGCTGCCAGCAGAGAAACCACACTTCAGCTGGGCAGACACCTGGGTGGAAGAAGAAGGTGACAAGAATCCAGTGTGGTGAGCTTGGAGAAGGAGGAGGACTGTGAACTGACTGATGGTGAGGAAAGACAAAACCTGCTGAGCTGAGCTGAGTGGGTATTGCTGAGGAAAGTCACCAGTTCCTAGGTGGAGGAGGCTCCAGGTTGTAGAGTAGCTCTGCTGTCATCTAGTGGACAAAGAGGGAAGTGTAGAAGGAAAAGGCTTGCCAAATAGGTTTTTTTCCCTTCCCTACATTGTTGTTTTGATTCCTTTCTCTTTATTTCTTGTATATATCTTGTAGATTTTTGGTTTGTGGCTACCATGTGCTTTATATATACCAAGCTATGTTTATAGCAGTCTATTTTAAGTCGCTGGTCACTTAAGTTCAAACACATTCTAAAATCACTACCTACCATTTTTACTCCAGCTGTTTGTTTTTGTCATTATTTTGTACTTCTTTTTTTTGTGTGTGTATCCCTTAACTTATTGTTGCAATTACACATGATTTTCCTACTTTTTCCTTTTAACCTTTGTACGAGCTTTAGTGTTGGTTGATTCACTGCTTTTATTATGTTTGCCTTTGTCAGTGATAATATTTTTTCTTTGTGAAATGTTCTTTTTTTTCTTCTTAAGTCCCTTTAATACTCTTTGTAACACTGGATTGGTGATGATGAACTCCACTTTTTCTTCTCTGGGAAACTATCTCTCCTATTCTAAATGGTAGCTTTGTTGAGTAATTTTGGTTGTAGATCTTTGCTTTTTATCACTTTGAATATTTTGTGTCAATCACTTTTGGCCTGCAAAGTTTCTGTTGGGAAATCAACTGACAATCTTTTTTTATTTTTAAATTATTTTTTTCAATTAGTCTACCTACATTCAATCTCATTCTACATTAGTTTTATATGTACAGCACAGTGGACAGAAAATCATGTACTTTACAGAGTGGTCCCTCCTGATGCTTCAAGCATCCACCTGGCCCCATACATAACTATTGTAATATATTAT